TCAGCAGAGGATGTGGTCCCTTCGTTTAGGTGTGGAAGTCAGAGGTTTTGTGCTCTTGCATTTATTCCTTTGCAGAGTGGAAATACGGGCAAGTTTTGCATCCCTCTCCCTCCCTAATAAGCATCTGGCACAGAAGCAGCAATGGAGCTGTGATGCCAGAGCATGCTGGCTCACTGCAGAACAGGGAGCTTGGAAAGGCTGCAAGGCTGGAGAGGAGCACATGCCTCTCCTCCACTCCTATTGTATGTACGTATCCTATTGTCATGCAGTTGCTGCACTACTAATGGTGGAAAAGTGCAGCTGAGAGAAGACAGGGAATGCTGTGCTATTTTTTATCCTCTCTAGCTATCTTTATACACGAGAGCTCGCTCACATAGATTGTGAGAATTTAAGACAAGTATAAAAAGAACTGCCTTGTACTCTGGATTTGCGCTGGGAAAAGTCAGACAGATTCTTTTTGGTACATAAAAGATGTGCCAGGTTTTGGTGAACAAGCTGTAAATTGGAGGGGATGACTGTGTCTTCTGCAGGATTTCTCACCGAGCAGGCAGAAAGCCCAGCCCGAATCCAGCACAGCTTCTGCCACACACACCCCTTCAATGAACATTCCAGGCATCAAAGTCACTGCCCCACAGTGTTGTTGTTTGAAGTGTGCTCTGTGTGCAACTGGAGATGCCTCGGTAAACAGCAACGGAGCGATCGGCTCATTGCTACTTAGAAACACTGATTCGGTTTTATATTTGGCTTTGCAATGGGCTTAAACTTCCTGGAGGGATGAGAAGCAGATGTTTGTTTATGCACAGGGGAAGCAGAGACACCAGAGTCCTTGTTGAATCTGCTCCTCCCAAAGGATCACCCACCCCAAGGCCAAGGAAACCGGACGCGCTTCCTGCCGTGGCCCCTCAGGATGCCCGGACCAGGCACTTTCCCACCCTGGGAAGAGGTGGAGCAGCAAGGTGGCTCCTTGATGAAGTTCAGCACCTGATGAACGTGGATGATGGTGACTGGTGTTCCCAGGAGGACAGGAATCTGCCTGGGATAAGCACGAGAGTGGATCCCTCGCAGGAGCTCTGACCCTGGCTCTTGTCTGCACAAGCGCTCACAACCGCATCCCGCACAGCGGGGAACAGTCCCTCCAGCACAGCAAAGCACGTGCCCTGCAAACACCCCAGATGATACCCCTGTAAAGCTCTGCCACTGCACAGGGCAGGCCAAGGGCTGTGTTGTGTCTTCCCAAGCCCTACCCGGCTCCAGAGCATTGGGATTCACAGCACAATCAGCTACAGGTATCCCCAGACACCACGCTGCTGCCAGCCCACAGGCGCAAAGGGAAAAGGCACCCACACACCCCTGCTCCCATCATGAGAAGCCGCAGCCTGGGTCTCTGTCCCTGCGAAGTCACCGAGCAGCGCAGCACTTGGGATGCAGCACGAACGAAACAGACCCTGACCTCTGCAGAGCGCAGCCGCCTTCCTAGAGGGAAAGTCATGTTCCCTGCGTGGAAAGCAGCCAGTCCCTGCGGCGCCCTGGCCGGCTCCGGGGACGGGAGATGCAGGCTGGTACCCAGCGAGGTGACCCTGCACCCCCGGCACGGCGATCTCTGCCCTCGCTTCGGGCTCAAGCTGCTCCCGAGCACGACGGGCAGAGCTGGCACCAGGGAGCTGCTGCCTCCCGCCTCCTGCGGCAACCAAGGTGACCCGGCTCTGAGCTCCCTCTGCACCGAGCCATCCGTCTCCTGCCTGGTGTGGGATGCAGGCTGGTACCCAGCGAGGTGACCCTGCACCCCCGGCACGGCGATCTCTGCCCTCGCTTCGGGCTCAAGCTGCTCCCGAGCACGACGGGCAGAGCTGGCACCAGGGAGCTGCTGCCTCCCGCCTCCTGCGGCAACCAAGGTGACCCGGCTCTGAGCTCCCTCTGCACCGAGCCATCCGTCTCCTGCCTGGTGTGGGTTTACCGGACGGGATGCGAGATCCAGCGCAGATCTGCACGCTCGGATTTGCCGAGCCCGTCATCGGAGCCGTGCCCTCTCCCCCGCGCACATAAGGGGATCTGCCTCCAGACAGGGGCCCCAGCGCACGCTGCAGGAAAGATTCCCACACACATCCTCTCCCTGCAGCTCCTCAGCTTTACATAAACACTGCAGATAAATCTGCCCCCTCCCAGCCCAGGAATGCTCCTTTTGTAGAGGTGGTTCTGGCTCCATTCAGCACAGACATTGCCACAGCGAACTGTATCATAGCAACCTGCTGCTCCCTCGGCAGCCAGATACACACCCCGGAGCCCGCAGCCCAGTCACCCTGCAGAGCCACCGCCATCCCCATCCCTGCGCCAGGAATGGTGCCAGCATCCCGCAGAGCCACCGCCATCCCCGCCCCGGTGCCAGGAACCGTGCCAGCATCCAACCTGGGATTCAATGATTCTGTGTCTCTACTGAATCAGGAAATTCTGTCTGGGAGCTTATTCCTCTATTTTTTGCATCTGTGACTTTTTCATTCAGTACAACACCTAAAAAAAGCCCCCTCAAAACACAAAAAGCCTCCGAAGGCCTCGCTCAGTGCCCTCAGCTCCAGGTCTGCAGTTCTACTGCTTCTGAGCACTTGACATCTCCCAGATCCTCCAGCAAGACCCCGCAGAGGCACTTCCTAACACACAGGAACCCGAGATCCAACCTTCCTCTACGGCATGAGTTGCTCTCCCACTTGGCACCCAGGTTTGCAAGAAGCAGGCCCTATGTGCATCTGTTTGTGATTAAATTGGAGCAACCAAAACCCAGCTTAAACACAAACCCCACGCAGTTGTAGCCTGAAATTCAGGGCGGGTGCACCAGGAGCAGCTCTTCTGTCCCATGAGCCGGCAGCCCCTCGGCGCCTGGCTCTGCCGCTCTTGCGCAGGGGACTGGAACGTGCTGTTTCATCTCTACCAGCACAGTGTTAATCTACATTTGTTCCTTATTAGCTGTCCTGAGAGGTAACGAGCCTCCTCCCATGGGCGCCCTCCCTCCAACAATAGCATATTACAAACCAGGCAAGCACATACGCATGCAGAGCCATGCTCTGCTCCATGAGGGGCTCCTGCAGCCCCAGCCAGCCCTGGCTTGGAACAGAGACGAGCACTGCCAAGACCTACATTTTCCAGCATTGCACTTGCCTTGGAGGACTCCCTGTGAACTCTCCCCATAGAGCCAGCAATGCTGTGGCACATGCTGCTTTCTGCAGGAGCAGCCAAGAGCTTCCTTCGCAGAATGAAGCAGAAATCCATCCCAGCTTTATGGAGCGCTGCACTGACAAGCCCAAAGAGCTCCAGGTTACCTCCCTGCACAGCGATGTCTGGAGCAGTGGCCTCAGAGACTGTACAGGTTGTCTTCTTTGCTAGACAAGTCCCACCACCAGCTCAGCCAGGTCTTTGCAGAACCAAGTTGCAGCTCTCCTGGCATCCTCTCCCCATGCATGGCACGAAGCCTGCGCCACCTCTCAGCCAGCATCGGGCACAAGACTATCTCCCCCACTGCCATGGGTCCAAATCACCCTTCACTGAGCTTCACCGGCCACATGGCCCTCCAGTGTTTCCCGAGTCAGGGTGCAGGTCCTTTGGAGCTGCTGAGCACCAGCACGTACGCTCAGGGCTTCCTGGAGCTGAACTCACACCTTTGTAGTTGCAAGAGAAATTTCTCTGAGCAACTGCTTGCTAGAAGCAAAGGCCCTGCATGCAGAGCCACAGCTCCGAGCCCCCTTCCCACCTCCCAGGCTGGGCGGCTGCAGCAGAGCTCTGATGTGGGAGGAGGATGCTCACATTCATCACTGCACACCTTCCACACCCGAGTGCTCCAGACCCGGTTAATATTACATGAGGCATCAATGAACATAGTGGCTTTCACGATTAGTCATCCCTCTGCCGAGGCAGATGATGATGAAGGTGTTAATAATAACAACAACATATTTCATTTATATCACACCACTAAGACTGAAAACGAGATCTCGGTGCCATTCCCAGGGCAGGAACAACGCACCCGGATGCTCCTGATGGGGCTGCAGCGGTGCAGAAGCTGCTGCTGGGGAAGGGGCTGCAGCTTCTGGTGGTTGCCCCCATCCTTCACCCAGCCCCAGCAAGGAGCTGAGCTCCAGGGCTCCCCAGTGCAGGCACAGACCCCGGCCAGCCCAGCACAGGGGCCAGTCCCCATGGTGAGCCCGCAGGAATCTCGGCTGCTGTTCCGAGACATCCAGGATGCTCCAGAGCTCCCGCTTCCTCTGCAGATGCAACCAGAGGGCACAGAGTCATCCGAAAATACTTCCCAGTGCTACAAAAGGGGAAATCAGCGCAGGGGAACAATGGCAGAGCCTACAGCTGAGGGTGAGGAGGAATTCAGCCCCCGGGAACAGTGGAGATCAGAGTTAAACAGCCCCAAAGGTCATGCCCAGTCCCTTTATCCTACTGGGACAGACTATGAAAGACATTTTTCTCCCGTGCTCCTTTCACTCAAGCCGACGAGCAGCTCCCCACGGCCCACAGGCAGGGACAGCGCCTGGAGGCAGCAATGTTTGAAAGAGAATGGCTCTGCCCGCCTGGCACATGACAGACCAGGACATGCAAATGCCCTCCTCATTCCCGCTGTCATCAGTGCTGAAGGCCCTATAAATCAGGAGACCAAGAAACAAGCCCCTGCAGCCTTCCCGGCTGCAATAGATGCACATTAGGGAGACAGAGCTCTGAACCACCCCGAGTTCAGGGGCTGACTTTATCCTCAGCATGAAATCAGACACTCTCTTTGGAAAGAAAATCAGAAGGTTTCTTTGTTTGAAGATTGATAAACTGCTGCAATATTGCTGAGCACCCTGCAGGTCCCAGCTCAGCCGGGGCTCAGAGGC